TGCAACTTGAAGTCTAAAAAAAAAAAAGTTGCATGAATTATATTTACTAAGACATTTGTCCATGATTCCCATCTTGATAAAATTTAATTTATTCTGAATTATGTTTGACACACAGATCTACATATAGATTAATATGCTTATAAGCAGTCCTAATAGGTTTTCTTGTCTTCTGAGCTTATTCTTTTCAGTGTTTTATAAATGAATGAATTTGAATTTTATTTGCAGTATTACTTATAAAAAAAATTTATGTTGGAAAGAACAAGAGAGAAGAAGTTAGATTTCAAATAAACACTAATGTTCAAAATATCATAAAATTAAAATTCCAATCAAAGTGGATTTATCTAATATCATTTGTTTATGAAAATATTTCATTTTTACAATACATTCTACTTCCTATCATAATATATGAGCTGCAAATGCAGAAAAATTAAATCCCTAAAAATATTCCACTTTGTTCTAACACCAATAATTTTTCTCAAACTTCAAATGCCTCAAGTCATTGATTGTAATAATGAATTATAAGACAGAAAGCACTTTATGCAGGAGCTTCAGCTTTTTAGAAAGCTTTTATGTGGATTAGCATGCTTTCTGCTCCTTTGCCATCTGATTAGTTATCATTCAAAGGAATATGAAATAAGAAACCATTATGAAATCAGGTAACTTCATAAGTAGAGAAATGCAGTGTAGCAAGTGGAATATAAAACTGTAAGTCTTTGACACTCTTAACTGCATCTTTGAAATTATATTTAAATACTGTATATAGCACTATTTATTCCACCATCATACCTAAGTATTCTGATATGTTTATGTTTATTTATAAAGGAGAACATGGTGGCTCTGTACTATAAAAACCAGACTGCTGACAACAAGGCCACAGTTTGAGTCCACATGATGTTTCATAGGAGAAAGACTCTCTATGCCTGCAAAGATTTATAGCCTTTGAAACCCTATACAGGGTCATTACTAGTCAGATCCAACTCGATGAGACTTAAAAATAAATTAAAGATAACTAATCAAAATATCTATAAAATTACAATTAAAGTAGGATTGAACGTAACTATATAATTAAATAATAAATAATGCAAGCTTATAAGTCAGAGTCAGAAATATTCTTTGTGGCATTTTTGATCAAGATCTTGGTTTTATAAATTCAGAGGCTCAGCACTGTGATTTTCCTAAATAAAAATTTATATAGCAGTTCTTCTGATTTCTGAGCTGGAGTCCACTGTACTTTGTATTATATCTAAATATATCTCTATATATTTTCATCTTGAAGTCTTCCTTTTTTGATTATGAAAGACATATATCACACAATAAAATCCTAAAATTATAGCTATACACTTTTTTTGTGTGGTGTTTTTACAGGATTTTACATTTCTACCCCAACTGGACCAGGAACAAGAAGTGGGAGAGTGCGAATTTTAAGCCTTCCTTTAGTCCTCACTTTGGAACCAGTCTGCCTCAGTTTCTGGTATGTCACAGACACACATTGAAAGATTTATTCAATGAGGAGTATTGCCTGTTGTGTTTGTTTTTTCAGGTTGCCAGACTCAAATTATACAAAGTTGTTATTCAAAGTCTTGATGCATATGTTGTAAGTTTTTAAATTGATAATGTAGCAAAATATTAGTAGCCTTATAAATTCCAATGTATCAGGGGAAAAGCCACGACTTGTCTGTCAGTTTGTCATACTGTAGTGGCTTGAGTGTTGCTGTGATTCTGGAAGCTATGCCAGGGGTATTTTAAATAACATCAGTGTCATCCATGGTGGGCAAGTTTCAACTGAACTTCCAGAATAAAACACACAAGGAAATAGGAGAGATGGACTACTTTTGAATATTTAGTCACTGAAAAACTTATGAATACAGGGGAACACTGTCAGTACCAGATTACTGAATAGTGAGACATGATGAAGAAAACCAAAACATTGTACGATATAGTGCCAGGAGATGAACCCCTCAGGTTGAAAAGAACTTAAAATGCTTTTGAGGAAGAGCTGTCTCTTTAAAGTAGAGTTGACCATGTTGAGGCAAATAAAGTAAAGACACTGGAACCTACATTTGCTAATGGGGCACAACTCAAAATGAAGAGAAACAGCTGTAAGCATCCATTAATAATCTGAACATAAAATGTAACAAATATGAATCTAGGAAAATTAGAATTTGTCAAAAATGAAATGGAATGATTAAAAATCAATATCCTAAGCATTAGAGAGCTGAAAAGAACTGGTATTAGCCATTTAAAATCTGAGAATCACATGATTTACTAAACCGTGAATGACAAATTGAAGAGGAATGGCATCACATTAATCATCAAAAAGACCATATCAAGAGCTGTTATGAGATGTAACAATGTCTGTGATAGAATAATATTCATATGTCTACAAGGAAGACCAGTTAATATCACTATTATTCAAATTTATGCACCAACCACTAAAGCCAGTGGTGATGAAATTGAAAAAATTCTACCAACTTTTTCAATCTGAAATTGATCAAACATGCACCAAAATGTGTTGATATTTATGGGTGACTGGACAGAAAAGGTTGGAAACAAAAAGGAAGTATCAGTAGTTGGAGAATATGGCTTTGGTGATAGAAAACATGCTGGAGATTGCATAATAGAATTTTGCAAGACCAATGACTTCTTTGTTACAAATACCTTTTTAAAACAACATAAAAGAAGACTACATGCATGGACCTCACCAGATGGAATACACAGAAAACAAATTGACACAATCAGTAGAAAGATATGATGAAAAAGCTCCATATCATCATCCAAAACAAGGACAGGGGCAGACTGTGGAACAGAACATCAATTTCTCATATGCAAATTCAGACTGAAGCTGAAGAAAATTAAAACAAGTCCACGAGAGCCAAAATACGACCTTGAATGTATTCCACCTGAATTTAGAGATCATTTGAGGAACAGATTTAATGCCTTAGACACTAAACCGAAGACCAGAAGAATTATGGGAATAACATCATACAAGAAGAAAGCATAAGGTCAATGAGAACACCACAAAGAAGGAAAAGACCAAAATGGATGTCAGAAAACACTCTGAAACTTGCTCTTCTGTGTAGAGATGCTAAACCAAATGGAAGAAGTGAGGAGGAACAAGAGTAAACAGAAAATTTCAAAGGTCAGCTCAAGAAGACAAAGTCAAATATTATAACTCAATGTGCAAAGACCTGGACTTAGAAAACCAAAAGGGAAGAAGACG